TGTTGAGTATATTGTATAGGATACTTATGTATCGGGTCTGTATCTTATCGGGTCTGTATCTAGTTTAGGCCCATTAGGTATTTGTATATAAACCTTTGTATCGTTCATTATTAAGCAAGAGAGTTACTTTTCTCATCATGGTATCAGAGCCGAAACAAAAACCCTAGCCTCCCTATAATATTTTTTCGAACCCACCCCCCACCGAAACCCGATCTTGCCGCCGGTCAACATGTCTGACGACGAAAACAAACGCAAGGCTGCCGAGCTGGCAGCGCAGAAAGCCGCCGAGGCTGCGAAGTCAACGACGTTCGACCACGATTCGGATCACGATGATCCGGATGCAGAAGTTATTTATCGAAAGCTTGATCCATCATCCCCTTATTTTCTTGGTTCCAATGATCATTCTGGAAACATGATTTGTACGGTGAAATTGAATGGTGAAAATTATGAACGATGGGCACGTTCCATGCGCTTGTCTCTGAGGGGAAAACGTAAATGGGGATTTGTTGATGGTAGTATTCGAAAACCGGTGAATCCAATTTATTTGGTTGACTGGGATGCAGTCCAATCAACTCTAGTTCAATGGATTATGAATTCCATTGAGGAGAATCAGAAAAATTCGATTCCTTATTTCGAGGAAGCCAAGCCTTTGTGGGATTTGTTGCAGAGGAGATTTACTGTGAGCAATGGGCAGCGTCAACAAGAGTTGAAATATGAGTTGGCTCAATGTAAGCAGACAGCTACTATGTCGGTTGCCTCCTACTTTGGTAAACTGGAGAAACTCTGGGATGAAATTGACAACTACAATCCTGTTCCTGCTTGTATTTGTGGTATGAGTGAAGAATTTCAGAAGAAGAAAGACGAGGCCAAATTCCATGATTTTCTGTTTGGCATTAATCAGGAGAGATATGGGAACTTGCGTTCTCAATTATTGGCGCAAGACCCGTTACCAACCTTGGATTGGGCATTTAAAGCGATGAACCAGGAAGAACAATTGCAAAAGAGGAATGTTGTGGTGAAATCTGATGCAGTAGATGTGATGACTTTTGCAGTTCAAGGTACCAACAAAGGTACTCCTGATTCTAAACCGCGATTTCTTCCTAATGTTACATGTACTTACTGTCATAGAGTTGGGCATGAGGAAGCCACATGTTATGGGAAACATGGTTTTCCGGAGTGGTGGGGAAATCGACCCCAGGTTCGAGGAAGGAACAACCCCCGGTTCAAGCAGTGGAGCCGAACCAGGCTCGACTTCAGGTATCCCGGGGGTGAGCTCCGATCAAATTCAGCAGCTTATCTCTCTTCTTGGTGGTAATTTGAGTACTGATGATCGCTTGAGTGGTGAGTTTTTGTCCACTTTATGGCTTATTGATACGGGTGCATCTAATCATGTTACTGGTAATTTATCTCTGTTGTCGAATGTTCGTGATATTGCTGCAGCAGCCGGTTCGAGCAGTGGAGCCGAACAGGGCTCGGCTTCAGGTATCCCGGGGGTGAGCTCCGATCAAATTCAGCAGCTTATCTCTCTTCTTGGTGGTAATTTGAGTACTGATGATCGCTTGAGTGGTGAGTTTTTGTCCACTTTATGGCTTATTGATACGGGTGCATCTAATCATGTTACTGGTAATTTATCTCTGTTGTCGAATGTTCGTGATATGTCTCCTTGTGTTGTTGGTCTTCCGGATGGCAGTAAAGTGACTTCTGTAAAATGTGGGTTTGTCAGATTATCTCATCATTTGACTATGCAGAATGTTTATTTCGTGCCCGATTTATTATGTAATCTACTCTCGGTCTCACATTTGATGGATGATACTGACTGTGTGGTACATTTTGTGAAATATGGTTGTGTGATTCAGGACCAACGCTCGAGGATGCTGATTGGACTCGGTGAAAGGCGGGGTGGACTTTACTACTTCAGGGGTGGATTTGAAGTTCAGGCTAATCGGGTGGTTGATCATCAGGATCCGGTGGTTTGGCATCAAAGACTGGGTCATCCCTCAGCTAAGATAGTGAAGACTCTTCCATTTATTCTTGATAATAGTAATGTTTTGAATAAGACATGTGAAGTGTGTTGTCAGGCTAAACAGAGTCGTGAATCTTTTCTATTGAGTGATAATAAATCCAGTTATGCTTTCGAATTAATTCATTGTGATTTGTGGGGGCCCTATCATACTTTGTCTTCTTGTGGTGCACGATTCTTTCTGACCATTGTTGATGATTTTACTCGTGGAGTATGGATTTTTTTGATGCGTGACAAAACAGAAGTGTTTGGCTTGTTTACCCGATTTTTAGCCTTAGTGAGTCGACAGTTTAATTCTCAGGTTAAAATGGTTAGAAGTGATAATGGTACAGAATTCTTTTGTCTTAAGAATGTTTTTGCTGATAATGGGATTATATTTCAAACTTCTTGTGTGAGCACTCCTCAGCAGAATGGTAGAGTTGAACGAAAACATAGACATATCTTAGATGTTGCACGGGCATTAAGATTTCAGGCTAGTTTACCTGTGAAGTTTTGGGGTGAATGCATCTTAACTGCTGGGTACTTAATTAACAGAACTCCATCGAAGTTGTTAAATTTTAAGTCACCCTACGAGTGTTTATTTGGTGCGAAGCCTATGTTTTCTGAATTACGTGTTTTTGGATCTCTCTGCTATGCTCACAATTTAAAAGCTAAGTTTGATAAGTTTGCGAGTCGAAGTCGAAAGTGCATTTTTGTGGGATATCCGTTTGGGAAAAAGGGGTGGAAGGTGTATGATTTGGATACTCATGAGTTTTTTGTATCCCGTGATGTGAAATTTGTTGAATCAGTGTTTCCCTTCTCGAATATCCCATGCATTGTTGATGATAATGTGAGTACATCTCGAGCAGTTGTTTTGGATGAGTTTGAGGAAGGGGAGGAGGTATTGGAGGTAGCCCCCCCTTCGGTTTCACCGACTGAACCACCGCGGGAGGAAGGGGGAGTAACTCCTACGGTGGCGGAACAGCAGACACAGCCCCAGGCTGATGTCGCGACTCCACAACAGCCACCTCAGGCTGTCAACATCGAGCTGCCCAAGCAGCCTGCTCCCGAGGCGATTTCGACTGAGAATTTGGGTAGAGGTTTGCGTGCTCGTACTCCATCTGTTCGACTTCGGGATTTTGTTGTGAATACAATTATTGGTTTTCAGTCCACTCCCCCCGATTCATCGAGTTCCAGGCATGCCTCACACTCTGGTACTACCTATCCTTTATCTAATGTTTTGGATAGTAGTTGTTTTTCATTGGACCACAGAGCTTTTCTTGCAGCTATTTCTTCTGGAGTTGAACCTCAGTCTTTTAAGGAAGCTATGAAAGATGAAGGATGGCGTGCAGCAATGCGAACCGAGATTGAGGCCCTTGAGAAGAATGGGACATGGACATTAGAGACACTGCCACCTGGTAAGAAAGCACTTGGTAGTAGATGGATTTATAAAATCAAGTATCGATCGAATGGACAGATTGAAAGACTGAAGGCCGGGTTGGTTGTGTTTGGCAACCATCAAGTGGAGGGGATAGACTATTCTGACACATTTGCACCAGTAGAAAAGATGGTGACGGTCAGGACTTTTCTAGCAGTTGCAGCAGCAAAGGATTGGGAACTGCACCAGATGGATGTTCACAATGCCTTTCTGCATGGTGATTTGACAGAGGAGGTATATATGAGAGTACCCCCAGGCTTCAGTAAAGGGAGAGATGGTCAGGTTTGTCGACTTCGCAAGTCATTGTATGGCTTGAGACAGGCACCGAGATGCTGGTTTGCCAAGTTGACAGCAGCTCTTCGCAGGTATGGCTTTGTTCAGTCATATTCGGATTACTCACTGTTTACTTATTCAAAGCAGGGAATCAGGCTGAATGTGTTGGTGTATGTGGATGACCTGATTATTTCGGGAAACAACACAACTGAGCTGACAGAGTTTAAGAAATACTTGAGTGGTTGCTTCCATATGAAAGATTTGGGAAAGCTCAAATATTGCTTGGGTATCGAGGTGGCCAGAAGTGCAGAGGATATTTTTCTGTGTCAACGGAAATATACTCTGGATATTATTTCTGAGACAGGACTTTTGGGGGCAAAGCTTGTGTCATTCCCGATGGAGCAGAACCAGGAGCTTGGAGCTTCGCAGAGTCCGTTGTTGGCAGATGGGGAGCGCTATAGGCGCCTGGTGGGAAGGCTTCTAGTCCGTTGTTGGCAGATGGGGAGCGCTATAGGCGCCTGGTGGGAAGGCTTCTATATTTGGCCTTCACTCGACCTGATTTGTGTTTTTCGGTGCATGTTTTATCTCAGTTTTTACAGGCACCAAGGGAGGATCATTGGGCAGCAGCATTACGAGTTGTTTGATATTTGAAAGGGAGTCCAGGACAAGGAATACTTCTGCCGAGAAAGTGTGACCTGAAGCTGACAGGATGGTGTGATTCAGACTGGGCAGCTTTTCCTACAACACGGAGATCAGTGACTGGCTGGATGGTGTTTCTTGGGGCGTCTCCTATATCCTGGAAGAGCAAGAAGCAAGCTACAGTTTCATTGTCCTCATCAGAAGCGGAGTATCGAGCAATGGCGAAAGTAACCTGTGAATTGAAGTGGCTCAAGGGACTTCTCCAGAGCCTTGGGATCGATACAAAGGGGCCTATGCAGGTGCGTTGTGACAGTCAGTCAGCCCTGCATTTAGCTCAGAATCCAGTTTTTCATGAGCGTTCGAAACATATTGAGGTGGATTGTCACTTTCTGAGAGATGCTATATTGGAGGGGGTCATCACTACTTCACATGTACCCACGGGATCTCAGTTAGCAGACATTTTCACTAAACCATTGGGCAGACAGCAGTTTGAGTTTCTTTTGGCCAAGTTGGGCATACACAACTTGCATGCGCCAACTTGAGGGGTGGTGTTGAGTATATTGTATAGGATACTTATGTATCGGGTCTGTATCTTATCGGGTCTGTATCTAGTTTAGGCCCATTAGGTATTTGTATATAAACCTTTGTATCGTTCATTATTAAGCAAGAGAGTTATTTTTCTCATCACATATGCATCACAGATGGTACAGGATGTGGAA